GAAAACCACTCCAATTTGTAAAAACCGTAAAAACTACTTTCATCCGTCGTAATCTTATGAAATTTTTTCATGAAATAAAACCACTCAATTTGTATAAACCTTGAAAACCACATTCAACCAATCATAATTTTTAATTTTGTTCATTTTTTTGTAATTATGAGAGGTTGATTAACCATTTTTATTGTGGAGAGTGTTAATCATGGATATTATCGTCTTCATTATTTTAATTTTAAAGAAATACATGAAACCGTTTCATTAAAATTTCATTAAATATTATATGAAACAATTTCATAACCATATATGAAACAAATTCATCAAAAAAAGTATTATATGAAATAATTTCATGAAAAAATTTCATAAGATTAAACAATGAAATGGACGTATGAGAATGGTTTATATATATATATATATATATATATATGGTCAGGTTCAAACGAGAAAACGGTCAATTTGCTAGAATGCGAGAAGTTTCAAGTCACATGTGATACAAACAAGTTGCATTGACCAGCCATAGAGCGTGCCACTTTTCCTATGAACTTGTTCGCGTCAACCAAGTCGTCCGCAGGGCCGGTCCTAAGATTTTTGATGCCCTGTGCGAAAATAATAAAAAATTCCCCTAAGCCTATTTTTTTAAGCCAATGAAACAACGAAACATGCGATTTTTTAAAGAGTTTAAAACTTATTCAAGTTAAGTGTCTCATCCTCATGTTGATTTTTATTAATTATAATAAAAAAAATACAAAGGGGGGTGGGGATAAAAACCAAAACCTCGAATATAAAATGTAGAATGATGAAAGAAAAATCCTGAATTAAGATCGTGCTTCCTTCCTTTTCAGTTTTCCTTTTTCCAAATTGAAATTAGCAAAATAGAAACTTTATTTGACTTAAAAAACAAGGAAAAATATAATTAGTTTTCAATTAAAATAGTAAATTACATACAAATTACTGTCATAGTAAGCAAAAAGTAAAACTCAAAAATTACAGATCTAACGACTAAAGGCTAACAGCCTATCTGTTAGCAACTTAATTAACAACTTATTTGCTCAACTATGCATGATTGTTTCGTAGTGCCTTAATGATATAGAAAGTGATTTATGTAGTAAACTTCTTGGGGGGGTGTTATATAGAAAGTCAAAAAAAAAAATCCAAACATGTCCATTCCAACTAAAAAAACGCTCCTTACATTTGCGAAAAAACTCTCCCAAACAAAAACTTTTTCAACTTATACAAGCAAATTACTTCATACATACAACTTTATTCAGACAGACAACTTTACAAAAACTTTTCGAACTTTCCAACTTTTTTCAACAATGTGCATTCAATATTCATCACTGTTAGGCCTTGGACATGTTTTATAGTTAAAGTTCAGTTGTCCAATTCCCAAATTATTAAACCCAAAACTAGTAATAAATGACAACTTGATGCCCCTTTAGACTTTGATGCGCTGTGCAGCCGCACGTTGGCCAGGGGCAGCCCTGGTCGTCCCTGGCCCTTTTGGACGTGTTGTATCACATGTGATTTTACTTTGTAATCGCATGTAATGTTGAAACTTCTCGCCTTCTCGCAAATTGACCAACTTGTCGCATGATCCCCCTCCCTATATATTGTTTAAAACACTCATCAAACATCAATATTTATTTGACACCAAATCTAGATAGAGTTTCTAAATCATTGAATGGTTGTTGAGTTTTATCAATACAGAGCCTAAAAAAAGGAAGCTGGTCCCAATGTATGAGGCCAGGTAGCAAACAATATCTTGCCTCTGAACTTGGTGGTGGAAAGGTTACTCTTATAACCACCACAGAGAAATGGGATGAAAAGCTAACAGAAGCAAAAAACAAGGGGCAGTTGGTCAGTCTTCTTTTGTAAATTACCATAGAATCAAATCAAATCAAATCAAATATTGGTCAAAATTTGCTTATGTTTTAGTTCTACCCGACAGGTCGTGGTCAACTTTAGTGCCGCTTGGAGTACTCCTTGTCGTTTCATCGCAACAGCATACCGCAATCTTGCTGATAAACATGATTCACTTATGTTCTTGACTGTCGACGTTGATCAGTTACCTGTAAGTCCTTATAAACACATATATCATATTTATTTCTAGTTTGATCACATGTTGTTCGATAATGTGTTGAATCTCTCTTTAAAACATCTTTTATGAAATGATAAAAAGAGGAACGGTCTGATACCATGTTAAAGATATATGGAATCCATTAACATAGAGGGTTCTTATGGCGACATATATATACAAGTCTGATGGTCCATGTCTAGCCAATATGAACAGATAAAAAAAACATGATATGGTTAAACTATTTAACGGTGTTGCAGGAGTTTAGCACGTCTTGGAATATTAAAGCCACTCCAACCTTCTTCTTCCTTATAAACGGGCAACCCATAGATTCCTTTGTGGGAGCGGATGAGAAAGAACTTGCAAAGAAGATCGAGGCAGCTGCTGCTGGTTTTATCCAGGTTCAATAGAATTAACAAAAAAGGCTAACTTTAGCGATCTACTTATGAATTTTGACCGGCTATTTACCATTAAAAAAGGAAGAAATTATAGCATAAGAAAACAGATTGTTTTCTATGCCAAAAATTGTGTGATTAGATCATATTTGCGTTGACGATGCCAAAAAAATCGGGTTTTTTGTTGAAAGAAACCAATAGTCCAATGTATTGAACGGTTAACGGCTATATAGGTTGGAGCATGTCGAATCATGTTCGGTGCTCTAGGATTGTTGCAGACAAAAGGGTTTGTGGTTTTGTACTGAATGCCTTGTCATACCATTCTCATGATCATCATGGAGAAGTAAATTGCGGTGTGTGTTTCTTTGGTTCTATCAATTAGGTCTTTCCTTTGTGTGTGTTTGTGAAGTATTGTTGCCATTTTTCACAATCGTGTCACTCCAATTTGGGGATCAATAGTTGCCCATTCGTGTGTTTTTTGAGATAAAAATATGTTCGTTTCAATTTTTCCCCGTCATATGTATCCATGTCCACCAATCATGTGAATACACATCATGTGAATGCGCATGTCCTATTCTTTCAACATTAATAATTGC